CCTGGAACACATGATCGGGGCGGTGAGGGGAAAAGTGGCGGAGGTAAGGGAGAGCGACCAGCGTCTCGGGGAGCCCTTTGCTGCTCCCTTCACGCTGTTCCCCTCGCCCGGAGGTGCCGTGCCACCCCGGTGCTTTGTCCTGTTGCCTGTCCCTCTTCTCCATCCGTGTCTTTTTTTTATTTTTCCTGTAGATTCACAGCCATTTCTCTCACAAGCCGATCATCCTGATCGGGTGGAACACGGGGGCTTTGGTGGCCTGTCACGTAAGTACCCGAGTCCTTTGCGTCCTCTCAGAGCCCGTTTGACAGCTTCAGCTCGGAGTTAGATTTGAATTCTTGCTGCGTTTAAGGCCCTGCTGGGATTCTTCTTGTCCATTTTCTCTTTCCAAGGCCTGGCTTGGAGACAAATATCGTTTCTGGTCGTGGGGGCATAAGCAATTCGAGTCATTCACTCACTTTAAATCGACAAAGCAAGGTCTAAATACGGAGGATGTTTCTGTGCCCAGCAGGAGCCTGGCAAAGCCGCCTTCGCACCCTCGATGCCCTTGACTCCTAGGATGCTGACTGTCGGTTTTTCCTCCCCAGGTTTCAGTGATGGAGTATGTCACTGCAGTTGTGTGCCTTGGATTCCCGCTTCTCACCGTCGATGGCCCCAGAGGGGTAAGGACCAAAGAGAAACGGAGCCATTTAAAGAACTGTCTTTTTTTTTCCCCTTTAATCTCCCTAGATTGTTTCTTAGAATCGGGCTTGGAAGTCCAGGGAGGACTGGAAGATTTTTTTTATGGGATTATCTGTGAGCTGACCGGTGTGTTGGCCGGGTTGGGAACCATTACAGTTGTGCTAATGAAATGGCCGATCTGAGGGTAGTGGGAATGTGGATAAAAGGCATTGGCTGGAGCACGGTGCGGCTCTCGAGCGGAGGACTCGGTGCAGCTCTGTAAATCCCATCAGGGGCTCATCCCAGGAAGCTGGCGCTGCTTCAGCCTCGTCCTGGGTTGGTGCAGGAAAAGCTGGGAAGGAGGGAAATGCGGCGACATAGGGTTTCTGAGGGGGAGGGTGTCGGTCTGAGCTGCTAAGGAGTAGCAGCTCATTCAGCTCCTGAGTCAGTCTGTCTCATGATGCACTAACGAGCTGCACAATTAAGACTTCTCTCAGGGTGCAGGGGACGGCACGTGAAGTGCTGTCCGCCCCTGTGGCACGTGCCTTCCCTCTTTGGAAATCCTCATCTCCTTCAGAAAGGCGTTTGGCTCCAAAGACTCTGCCTCCTGGGTCAGTCCTTCCAGGTGACCGTTCCCTTTGCTCTTGCAGGATGTTGACGACCCCCTCCTGGAGATGAAGACCCCTGTCCTCTTTGTGATCGGTCAGAATTCCCTGCAGTGCAACGTCGAAGCGATGGAAGATTTCGGGGAGAAGGGGGGAGCCGATAACAGCATGGTGGTGGTGGGAGGAGCAGATGACAATCTCAGGTGAGGCTCTGCGAGATGGATACTCTCTTCCCGGGAACACCGGGCAAGATCTGAACGTGCTGCCTACAAAAAAAAAACCCACCAAATCTGGTACTGAAACTGGATGGGAACTGCTTAAAAATGTTCCATCAGGCTCAGCTTTGTTGTTTGAAACCAGGTGTGTTGGATAGAGGGTTGGTTTTCTGCTTCCATCAGGCTCAGCTTTGTTGTTTGAAACCGGGTGTGTTGGATAGAGGGTTGGTTTTCTGTGATAAGTCTTTATCGTTTCTCCCAGTGGTAAGTTAAAGGTCCAGGGTACTAGAACCAGTACTTGCTTTTTCATGCCACGCCTGGCTCTGGAGTATGTAGCTTTTGGAGGCTGTGCACAGAATTGGGGTAAGGGAGGCTACAAGAGCCAGCGAGAAGCTCCTGAGGTTTCAGTAAACTTTGGAGCCTGTTCTGCTCTCACACTCGTGTGTGTGTGTGGAAGAACTGCACCAAGCGCCTGAGCGAGGCGTGTGTGAGAACAGGGTTGGTCTGGTGCTAGAGCCGGACCCAGCAGCGCAGGCAAGGTTTTGGAGCATCGTACCAGTCGGAAATCTAAACTAGGGATGATCAGTCAAGGAGAGGAGAGAAAGAAACGTGGAATTCCACTACTGGGTCCGAAAGCAGAGCTCTGAAGGGAAGGAAATGTCCTATTTGCTTTGCAAAATGCTTTGGAATGCTGGGCCTTTTTCCTCGTCGTGGAAGTTTGGCTCGGCACTTCCGAGGGATGAATCTCGTCTCTCCAGCAGACGGGGCTCTTGAGTCGAGAGCGGAGGGAGCTGGCTCTTGCCTTTGTGTCTGGCTGGGTAAGGGAGCGAGCTTGAGTCTGCCTCTCAGGTGAAGAATGATGTTGTGAGTGTGAAAGTGCAAAACCAAACGTGTGTTCACTTCCATCTGGTTTTTTAAATAGGATAAGCAAAGCCAAAAAGAAGTCAGAAGGCCTGACCCAGAGTATGGTGGACAGGTGCATCCAGGTAACCACAGAAACCTTCCTTTTACACCTCATATCTATAAACAACGATCCCCCTCCCCCAAGTTACAACCTCACTGCCAGGGTTGGTTGGGTTGAAGGTCATCTATCTCCTGAGTGGGGTTTTGAAGTGGCTGGCTGCTGTCAGGAGGAGAGACGTGAGCTTCCTGGTAGTTTTCGGAGTCTTCCAGCACGCCTGCCCGGGGAAGCAAGCACTATTTTTGGGAGCATGGGAGAAACCATCATGTTTCTCTCCCGTGTGTCATAAATCAGTGGAGTATGAGCTTTAATGAGAACGCCAAGGTCTACCTGTAAGGTTTTAGGTTTTCTTTTTGCAGAATATTAAACCTAGGGAGCCTTATCTGTTGTCTCTTTGGAAATCTTTCATTGCTTTTTTTTTTTTATTTCAAGCCGTGAAGATCAGTCGTTTAGAGCCCTGCACTTCGCCTGACTCTTTGTTTCGTCCTTCCTAGGATGAAATAGCTGACTTCTTGACTGGAGTCCTCACCCGAGCAGAGAGCCACTCGGGCTCCGATCCCCGTGACCTGGATGCTGAGAAGAAGAAGAAGCCTCGTGACTCGACCAGGAGGGATCTGTCGTTCGACTTGCCGGAAAGAAGCAGCAGGCCCGCCTCGCCAGCAGCCAAAGTGCCCGCCTCGCCTTCGGGCTCCGAGGTGGGGGCTCTCTCCGGGGTAATTTTGAGCTGGGAAAGGCTGAGGTGGTGTAAAGAGATGCTTTTGTACCACTGAAGGATGTGGCGAAAGACGTGGTTAGCGTTGGAAGGGGAAGGTGAGAGGGTACGGGAGGACTAGTGGCTTGTGGTGGGGGCGAGCGCACCTTGGAGGCAGCTCTGCCCCAGCCAAAGGACGCCGGGGTGCTGCGCCCCGCGGGGTTACGGCTGCCTCCGACGGGAACGGCGGCGTGAGACGTGTTCCTTCTCCTCCAGCAGGACTTATCCAGCGTTTCCAGCAGCCCCACGTCAAGCCCCAAGACTAAAATGGCCGCCGTGGCCTCCCTCCAGAAGCCCAGCCAGATCGGCCCCGCGCAGCTGCTGAAGAGGCAAGTGCAGAGGACGGACGCCGTCCTGACGCACAAGCAGGCACAAGGTAATGCCCTGCAGCTTCCCCTCCCTCTTCCCTCTCAGCAGCTGGATGGTTGGTCTTTTACCCCTCCCGACGCATCTGGGGGGGTTGTTTTCCGAGTCCTGTCCTGAATTCCGCGCTCCCCGTGGCAGCTTTCTCTACAGCTCGGTCCCTTGTCCCTGTCACCCGAAGGCAGCAGCCTGCGGAGGGTTGAAACGAGATTGGAAATGGTGTCTCCACAGCTTGTGGTGCCGTGTTTCTGTTCAGAGCGGGAAGGGTTTTCACTGGCTCTGGCTGACCGAATGGCCGCGTAGCCGTACTCTTAATTCTGTTTTCAAGCGTGAGCCCCTTGACTGGTGTCTCAAATCCTTGAAGGCTGCTCGGGAAGGAGACTAAAGGTACCCGGGAGAGGATTGTGGCTGTTGAATTCTGACTGAAACAGCGGGGCCTGGGTAATTACAGAGTCATCTTGCAGCAAATGGCAGTGGGAAACCTGCTCTGAATAAGAAACCAGCTTGAGCTCTGGGGGGTGTTGGTTTTTTTGTCCTGTTAGATGCTGATTAACAACCTTACGGTGCAGCTTCAGTCTGATTGTGAGCGCTGTGAATGTAGGTGATGGTTTTGTCGATGGTGATCCCTTCTGGCAAATAGCAGCAGCAGCTGGGGAAGAGTTCTCCATCCTCCCTTCTCTCCTTATTTCTTTGCTCAGGACAGACCTGAACAGGCTTCTTGTTGCCTCCTGCCACAGTGTGACCCTCCACGTTCTCTAAAGCCGTTCTCCAACTCGGGGGTACGCTCCTTAATTTCTCAGCCCACGGACTAAAGGAATCGATTCCCTTGTTGCAGCTGAGGGAGGAAGTTTCTAGGTAGCAGGAGGAGGGTCTGCGGCGTGGGGCGTGTCGTGGCCGCCTTGTTTTGTCAGGAGCGCCGCTGCGGCGTGACGTCTGGCCTGCGTTTTGTGGCCGTAGCTGTTCAGGGATGCGCTGGCTGACGTCTGCCCGGCTGCTCTCAGCTTCTCAGCGCCACTGCTCGGTCAGGCTAGCCCTGCCTCTCGCAGCCCAGCCCGCTGTCGTTCCCCGGACCTTTTTTCCCGGTGGCTGTGGGGCTGGAGGGGGCTCGTGCTGTCGGGACGTGCTCTCGGTGAAAGCTGGGATGATGCCTCTCCTCCAGAGAGGAGGTCGATGTGTCTCCGTTGTGCCTCGTGGCTGGATGAGTCGTGTCTGGAGCTCTCTGCCTTGCCTGCCTGCTCCGAGGTCTCTGTCTGTGGGTCGTTCCTGGAGTTCCCTGTCCCCCTTCAGAGCCGGGCTGTGATACTGTAATTCTCTCTGATTCATTTCAGCTCAGTTCGCTGCTTTTCTGAAACAAAACATGCTGGTGAGGAAAGCTCTTCCTCCTGGCACCTCTTCATGTCTCTTTGGTGAGTATCTCCTCACTTCTCGCTGTCTCTCTCTCTCCGCCTCCCTCCTTCTCTCTGTCTCTGCTACCTTCTTTCATCGTCTTCCTTTTTTTTTTTTCCCCTTGCATTGGTTTGGGGACGTGGCCCAACATGTCCCCTTGTCCCCCTGCTTTTTTGCTTTTTCATTGCTGTGTTGGAAGCTAAAGCAAACGGCCCACTTGCTAACTGAGAGCATTAACTTCTCCTGAGCTCTTCCCCTTTCCCTGCTCCGGTGGGTAAATCCCGCTCTTCGAGCCGCCTCGTCTGGCAACCGGTTAGCCCTGATGGACTAAAACTTTGTGGATGATGCGGTGACTTGTTGTGGTCGGGAGTTTGGCCCCTTTCCTGGGCTGGGGCTGAGAAGGGGCCGTGAACACCAGCCCGAGAGACGGCGTGTGTTGGCGGAGCGTCCCAGTGGAGCAGCAAAGGGGCTCTCGGCGGGAGCAGAAACGTGGGACCTGCCCCGTGACTTGGAAGGGGCAGATGTCGACAAGGTGGAGCAGCGTTTCTTAGCCAGAGAGAGTTGGAGAAGGGCAGAGAGGTCGGGGAGAGGGATGCCTTTGGGAAGACGGTGATGTGGTGGGAGAGGGATGCTGTCTGGACCAGGAGACAGGCGGAGGTGAGCGGTCTCGAGTCCCGTGGTCTCTCGTGTTGGGTGCTGCAGCTCGCAGAGAGGCGGACCTCGGCGTGTGCAGCGCCCTGAGGGCGAGGGGGCGAGATCCACAGCGTGTCTACAGACGCATTTTGCAGTCTTGGGTGGCAGTGACGGCGGATCTGGGCTTAGGAGAGGATGAGAAGTTGGAATCCAAGGCTTTGGGAGGCGGCGGTGTCGTCACGTGAGCTGTCGGTGTCAGTTCTCCCTTCGGGTGACCCCAGGGTGCTGAGAGTGGTGGCGTGGGTGAGAATTGCCCCTCTGCAACAGTGCCAGTGCTTTTAACTTGACGTGCAAGCGCTGGATACGGAGAACCTGGTGGTGTTTTGGTCTGCGGTGTGTAGGCTCGGAAGACGCAGGCTCCCTGCTGGCCCTGAGCACGCACGAGCATCCAGACTGCCACGTACAACCGTGGTAACAAGCTCCTGAGGCCAGTGGTGGCCCGAGCTGGTGGTTCTAAAGGTTTCTTTCTCCCTTGAGCCTTGTTTTGTGCTCTCCCCTGTGCAATGTGGGAGCCCACGTGGAGCCCTGTGCTTGTCTGGAGTCCTCCCACCCGGTGTCTGCTGGGAAGAAGAACCACAGTGGACGTTACCCCGCGGGTGGGGAGGCTGGCACCAGCCTGGACTGTCTTTTAATAAGATTAAAAGCCCATGAAGGTCTCTGGGCTCCTTACTGCGTTGCCTCGGCTGCCTGAGCTGCGAGGTAGGAAGCTGGGGTGCGTGCTGGGAGCGTTGGCTGAGGTTTCGGGCGCGGGGTGCTCCTCCCG